TAAGAAATGTTAAATTAAGAAAAAGTCGTTCAACGGACATGATAAAAAAAACTTTTCTCTTGACTCTTGGATCCACGATAAAGATAATTCTAGAAATCGCAGAGATNTTTTTTTTTTTTTTTTTTTTTTTTTTTTTTTTTTTTTTTTTTTCGTAAAGACTCTACGATACCACAAAAACGATGAAAAGGAGAGAGAGGATAGGTATGCGTTATTGCATCGACGATATATTTGCGGCTTCAGCGTGTCGAGCTTTCGATGCATTTATCGAAAAAGAGACATTGCATGTCGTCTACGATGTTACAAACTTCATTACGAGTAGGAGATATCTCTTCCAAAGTACAGAAACTAAAGCAATTGTACGAACTTTATATAAACTATGTTTTTCAAAGTTGTAGATTATTGTTCGAAGAAAATCTCACACATCATTTTTATGATAATAAATATTCAATGAAAATATTATTCTTTGGATTTAATTTAGAACTACATATAAGCGAAGTCATTCAAATCAACGTGATTCAATTCGAAATTAGATTTGAACGACAAGTTGTAATGGCATTGGCATTAGTAGAACTTTGTACGCTTCATTCGTTTAACCGCTAACGATAATTAGATTCTTCGATCGAATTGTCTAACGCATAATCTGTTATCAAAGGAAAATCTAGACCAAAGATAAAGTCTAGCAAACTAAGAAGCTTTTCAATCATCTCAATAGGACCGTCGATATATTACCTACTTATCTTTTATAATCTTTCATTGAATGTAAGACCGATAAAATTTAATATTTCGATTATGAATTGGAAAAGAGAAATGGTTGGCAAGTAGGAGGAGAAAATAAGAAATAATATCCGATGCAACATTGCGTCGTCGTGCCTCTAACTGGATCTTACGACTTAACCTGACTTAACTAACTCGATTTACCGAACTTGCGGGATATTCAAATATCGATATCATCGCATCTGCTACGCAGGTAGCGCCAGTCGTGGGGCGATATAACATCGCAAATTCAATTTCCACGAATACTCAGTCGCCTCCGTGGAATCAAAATGAGAAGAGGACGGAAGCACTTCGAGATGGGAGTTTCAAAGTCGAACTATGGCTCCTCGTCTAAAGGCGACATCGATTTTCCGAAGCGAGTGCTTCCAAAGTACGTAAACGACGATGAATCGTGTAGAATTTCCGAGATGCGAACTCTAACTTCTTATGGGAAATTGAAAAAGGACGAATTAACGCATCGCTGGTTACTCGCTGAAATGCGGTTTATTCGATGTACGGCGAATTATACGGGAATGATAACTGCACCAAATGTCTTTACAAGTATATAACTGAATAGTATAAATCATGAATAGATACGAATTCTACAGAGAATATATATGAAAATAAATAAATATTTCTTATTAAAGTAGTAGTATATTTTGTACAGACCTGTCTTCCTGGGATGGTGCACTTTAACGATGACTTTATGCTCAATTAAAAATACTACAATGTTAAATCCGAGGAAAGAACATTTAAAGAACTGGTTCGATGCAGGAAATATGTGTCAACAACATTTACGACTTTGGAACACGTTGGCACGACGAAAGCGTAACAAGCACTGTTAGTATACCACGGTTAAACATTCAAGTATCGAGAATCGTGCATTCATGCAATAAACACTGACTGTTGGTTCGTAATATATACAGCTGTTATATATGTCACGAATTAATATTCTTGATAAGGTAGATAAGAAATGAACATTTTTTTAAACATCTTTGCTAAGAAAAATCGAGTTAAATGATTTAAACGATACACGACATTTTCAAATAAAAAAACAACTTGTGCGATATATCGTTCGTTGGAATAACATCCCATGAAAATACCATGGTCAACCATATTTTCAATTTCAGTAGGACAAACGGAATCACGATCCAAGAGATACTACGACTATATTCGATATTTGTAACAAGCTGGAAGCTCGAATGGAAGCTCGTTTCATACATCCGAAGGTTTAGCTTCGATAATAAACGTTTACAGGTTAGCGAGTTTGATATATGAACGAATCGTCATTTAGTTCGGTTCGTTTGTTACCTAAATGCTCGTGATATTGGACTTTCATTAGATGGACGATTCGCTTTCTCGTCTTTCGGATTGCTATTTGTTACTTTTCACTGATTGCAAGTATCCTTAAATTTTCAAAGCGATTCATTGTTCCTTTCTCCTTTTCGAAAAAGCAACGGATCGTTCATTTCACTTTGATAAATAGTAGCACGATGGTTGGTAGCGTATTAATCTCACGAGTTATACACATACAAACACATATATAATATACATATAGATTCAGCTGCTATCTCTTGCTCTCTCTCTCTCTCTCTTTCTCTTCCCTCCTTCCCGTTTTCATGATAAACGCGAATGATCTAAAAAAACGTCCTCCTCACAAATCTTTTCAAAGATAAGGAAAGAAATCGAAGTTAAATTCTCCGAACGAATAATTCCATAATTTTCGTTACCATCTCGATCCTTTTGCAAACGATCGTTGACTTTCGGAGCAACAGGAAAGGCATCCGTGGCAGACGAGAATGAATTAGTAATCTCGTGCTAATCGTCGTGCTTACCAACAACAGAGAAAGATAGATAGAGAGAGAGAGAGAGAGAGAGAGAGAATCGCTTTCGATTAACGTTGAAGGTACGAAGGAGAGGCTGGCGTTGCGAAGCAGTCATCTATAAGAGAGACGAGTGTAAGCGTTGTAAGCTACGTGACGAGCGTACGAGAATTTGCTTCTAGAATTCCAGAGGTAACTCGATCTGTTATACAAATTTATCCACAAAAGATATATACTCTATTATATATTATAATATTTATCGATGACACTAATTAAACACCTAAATAAAATAATTCATTAAAATGAAAAAAATTGAGAAATAATAAAATAACATAATAATAATAATAATGATAAAATACTTAATTTCAAGAAGAAATATCGTATTTGTCCGAAGACATCGTCGAAATATATCGATAATCGCTCTTTGCCCATAGTATTTGGAGAATGGATAAGTTTGCATTAGGGCTGAAGATTAAATGGACCGGGACGGTGCGTTCCGTGTTTGGTGCCTCGATCGTTCGTTCAATTCGCGCCGGTACTCTCATGCGTTGTTGCATAATCCACACCAGAGTTATGTAGATCTGGGGCTTATCGCTCCAGGATTTCCATTCTGTCTCATTATTAATTTCCATGCGTTAAGCAGCTGGAACGGGCTTTAGTTTCGAACCGGCATATCGTTCTACAAACCATTTCCAAATTTTTCTCGCATTTCTACCAAACGTGACATTCATTTTCAAAAAGTTACTTTTATCAAAGTTACAATAGATAGATATTTAATCTTAACTAATGGTTTCTTTGAAAAAAAAAAAAGAAATAATATTTGTATAGTATTATCTGATTGTTTTGTACAAAAAACGAGAGCGTATCAATTATTTTGATTAATTTTTTGATTTAATCCTATCGAGATTTTTGACTGGTACAGATTGGATAAGTTTTAATTCAATGAACAACGAAAAAGAAAAAGAGAGAGAGTGGGCCGTTGTTATTGTAGAAGTTGAAGAACACTTTTGAACCAGCGCGCAGCGTTGAATATTAGAGGAATTTGTGTTCCAGGATTACTCGTTAAAAAAAGCTATTACTTTTGATTCTACGATATCATAACAATTGCTTATTTTAATTTACGCATGATTTTTCAATTGATGAAAGATTTACGATTTGTTGTAATAATATAATGCATGAATATTATGCTATAATAAACGCAGAAAGTGCAAACATGCAAAATTATGCAAAACAATATTAGTTCTTTTCTATTCTTCGTGTTATGTGGTGCATGCATGTAAAAACGTAAAGTAAGCTAGAGTAAATAAAAAAAATAAATGAGGTAGACAAATAAATAATACGTAAAACAGGAAAACATCTAAACACACCTGGTCAGAAGCATAAAAGAACGACGACTGAGAAGGGAAGGGGTTTGAATAGTTAAACTCATCCAAACAACGGTTTCTCGGTCATTAAATGTTTTAATTATACATATGTTAGCCCTCGGGCGGTACAATTATTCGATTGTTGTTTTTATTCTATTAAGAATCTCTTTATATCGAACCTGTAAACACATTGCCCTTCGTAACTGTTGTTAGTCTTATTCGAGCGTCGGAAATGGTAACAACGATATTAGATGAGTATTACATTTATTTCGCGTATCTGTGTGCGTGTTCGTTGCTATGCAAATGATGATGCATACGTGTGCGATAGTGTGTGTACTGTTGGCGAGTAATTTTATCATAGTTCTTCATCAAATCTTTAGTTAGAAAAAGAAAAGACATTTGAAGGGGTCCAATTCGTTTGAAGACAAACTGCAACGTCGAGGACAAATGATGAAAAACTATAAGAAAATAAAAAGAAAAAGGCACGATAGTGATGACATCCTGTGAAAAAGTATGAGGGATAATGCTAGGAGGAGTCGTCGTTGAAAGGCTGCGAACAAAGCTACTCTCACATACGAGAGAGAGAGAAAGAGTGAGAGAGAAATAGAAGTAGAGGGGATATTTCGACGATAAGAAATCAGTATGTCTCTGGGAGTAATTGTATGTTAATAATTATCATTGTGAAAAGACAAAAATAAAGGTACTCATTTTTTCGAAAGTAAAGAGAGTGCAAGAGACACAAATAGATAGACACAGGTAGAAAGAGAGAAATAGAGAAAGAAGAAGTCCATTGTAATCGGCAAGGTAGTCGTCGGTGGCATTCACTCCGAATGGGAAAGAGAAAGAAGAGTAGAGGTGACGAAGACCAGATAGCGAAGAGGAAAGGAAGTTACGGGTGGAGGGAGTTATGGTGGAAGTTATGGTAGAAGGGAAAGAAGAAGAAGGTTCGAGGCAGAGACCTACATATTCCGAGCGTGGCCAATGAGACGGCGCAATGTGGCGGACGAAACGAGGCATCCCGTGGAGGGGGGACAAACGAAGGCAACTCGGAGGCGCACGACGCTACGCGAATCCAGTTGCTCGCGAGCATCCGTCAGTGTTTGAACATGGCATCTCGTCGTTCGTCCGAAAGCACAAGTGCTCTTTTCTCCCCGCGCTTTGCGCTTATAGCGCTCGCGATACTTTTATTCATATCCGAGTTTGCTGTCGCTAAAAACGATCATGGTCTTAAAGTCGATACTGTTTATAAACCAGAAGTCTGCGATGTCCGCTCGAAAAAAGGCGACCAGCTGACCATGCACTATACTGGCACACTTCAAGACGGTACCAAATTCGATTCAAGGTCAGTGGATAAGTCTTTCGCTTGACGAAGAAGGAAGGAAAAAAAAGATATAAAGCAAAAAAAACATCGTCTACTTTCGTGCGCGCTCATATCCAAATACCAATAGCTGTTTTTTTGAACTTTACTCCGAGATTAGATTCTCCTATCTTCAGAGATTAGTAATAGTTTTACATTTTTAAATAACAAATCAAATGAATTTTTCGGAATACGTTTTTTTTCCTTTCGATCACGTAATTATAACGATGGTGTATTTTGTAGATACTTGCAACTATTACTATTGGCGAGATTAACAACGAGAATCTTGGTGTGACGTCTAACATTCGTGATTTTCCCGCGTTTATCAGAAAGAGTGGTGCGTTCCTTCAAATTAGGTGATTCACTCGTCCATTTCGAATACTCAGTCGATCATCTCACGGTTAATAACTCGCATTACCTTTTTGTTAATTCTTGAAAAAGAAAGTATACTCAATTGCAATGTTCTCTCTGTTTGGAAAAACCTTTTTCATTAACAATAATTGCAATTCGTGCACTAGAATATATCGATTTAATTTTATAATTAATTTCAAACATTTCAATCTATACGTTAACGATTCTAGCAATGAAAATATTGACGTAAGGTCATATTCTTAGAAATAAGCTTATGTACATTGTTATTAAATTTTCCCTTTCTCTTTCTAGCTTGTTTGAACTTTTTTTTTTTTAATTATCATCAAACAATTCACGTATCTTAATATATATATATATATATATATATATATATATAATTTTGCATTTCGTTGAATGGGAATTTCATACTTGTTCTCTCTCCCCTTTTTTTATTTTTACACATTTGCTTCGACGTTACGAAGACGACGATGACGACGACGACAGGAATATTCGATTATTTCAGCGGTAAATTTGTAATTACGGCGGGTTTCATTTTCCAATGAACGTGGCCCAATCAATCTAGCTGGTCGCTAAGTTTCACACTGGATACTGCTTCGTCTATTGAATTCGGAATAATCAGAAGTTCTCTGTTTGCGCTGTGATGAGTTTGCCCAGTGATACACGTCGACCGAGAGAACCCAAGAGTGCTGCTGCTGCTGCTGCTTTTCTAGATTGAAAAGTTTGCCAACGATAATTGAGAATTTCTTGTCCCACCTCTACCATATTCCTCTACCTTCTCTCTTCCTTTTCCTCTTTTAATACTTTTACCCGATCTTTCTAACTCTTTACGAACGATGAGAATCGAACGAAAAAGTATAAGAACTTTTTCAGCGGTTCGTTCGACTCCAATCGATTCGAGAACGAGTCTCAACGGTTTAAATTCTTTTGTAGGCCGTTACGAGTACCGTTAAGCGGACACTGTCATGGTATAGTCATTAGCTTGCATGTTACTAAACCTTGAGAAAAGTTTCTCTGTAATCTCGAATGAAACTATATACGACGACTTCTCACGTTGTCCCTTTCTGAACTTTATTTCTACCTGCTTGCAATTTTTTATCCATGATATCATCGATACGATTAGACAAACTTGTTTATCGTCCAGGTATATTCATTTTTGGTGGTGCAATGTTTCATCATTACTTTACATCGATTCGTATTCAATCGATAATAATATATAAACGTTTGTTATAATGCATTCATATTCATATATCATATATACGTATACACAGTGAACCATAGAAATATTTGTACCTGCCCTTGCTGTTAAATTTAAGTAATTAATTTTTATTTATAATGCAAACTTTCAAATTAATCTAAATTTGCTAGCAAGAAAATATTTTTTTTTTGTAGAGAAATATAATTTGACATAGATAAATGATAAAAAAAAAATTGTACAAGTACCTATGCAAGATATAATCATCAAAATATAATTATTATTCCATTAGCTAAGACCCCATTTAACTGATGTAAAACACCCTGTATATCTACTGTTATAATTTGAACAGTACCTCGCGATAATTTCTATTTATATAAATATATCAGATATTTATTTGCTTTCCGATAACGAGACTGAACGAGAATCTTGCGTGTACTGTCGCAGTAATTGTTAGCTTCATTTTTAATAAAATATTAGAGAAGGAAAAAAGAAGAAAAATAAATTGAAAAAGTTAGTTACTATAAGAAAAATAAAGAAAATCTTGGTAGGTTGCATTTAATTATAATATCAGGTGAAAGAGAAAAGGGAGAGAGAGAGAGAGAGAGAGAGAGAGAGGTAAGATACTTTTACCCTAAAGATAGTTTTCATAACAAGAAGAGCTCGTTCATTCCCTTAGATTAGCGGTTGTATCGCAAAAGGGCTAGCAAGAGGTCACTACCAGTGGCGAGTTGACTGCTTCTCAAGAGGGTGATAACGAGAAGCTCGAGTACGATAACGTTATCGAGTTTAGCGGGTAGTCCCTTTAGCGTAGATGGAAGTGTTTTCCTCTTTCCCTCTTCGTTAACACAAAAGCATGTTATTATTCTTAGTTACAAGTGTTTGGTCATTTTTCAGCTCTTCCACTTCCGTTTCCTTTGATTTTCTTTTTTGTCTACTTCCTGTAATCTCATACAAGTCAAACGCGTCTATGAAACTAACGCGTTCGTCATCGTAATTACTGCGCGTGTGTGTGTGGTCGCTAAACGATCGTTGCGGTTTAACTGGTTGAAAGGAGAATTCGCAATGTTACGACAGATCGATTAGAATTATAGTCGACGACAGTTTTGCTGACAACACTGTGATTTAGAAGAGAACAAGTGTCTCTAACTAATACATTCTAAAAAAGGTGAACATCCTTGAGCATTGAAATTCAATGAAGCGAAACGGAAATATCACCTACTTTCTCTTTTTACTTTCACTTATTTAACATTTTAGTGGAAGACCGATTCGCGTTCTTATACGTCACCGTAGTTGAATTAGGGATTAGGAATAGTTAGAGATAACAGCCTTCTCCTATTAGCCCGACGTCGATATCAGTTAATTCGCTAGCTCGACGAAGCTCGCCATTGTCTTCCTCGTGCGTTCACTTGACACGTCGATCGATTAATTGAAATCCGAATAGCGTCGGTCGTATTGAGCGATCATCGGACGCATTCAATTTTATGCCGTTATCGCTGACAGGGATAACGACCCTTCCTATTAATACAGCTTTAATCCACCAAGACGTTATTGTCTTATATCACCTTAAATCACATCGACCAGCATAAGCAAATAGTATTCATATTTTTCATCTAACTTGAAGTCATAAACGTTAGGACAATTAAAGGGAATAAAATTGTTCGCGTTGGTACAAAGGGATGGATAATCGTGAAATAGGACTAAATTGATTTGGAAGCACGATGTTTTAAACTCGCAAAGGGAAATTATTGAACGAAGCCGCGAGCAAGGCTCTTGCCCGTTATTAACTGCGTCGGAAAACGTAGCCACCCTCTCCTCGATAGTAAGTGTAAACTGTGAAGCTCATCCCATAAACACGGAGCAGCACCAGCAGCAGCAGCAGCAGAAGCAGCAACCAACGTCCGGCAATACTCGTTCAGTATTTTACCCCGAAACCACCAGACTCTAGCCATTTCTACGCTACCCCTATAACCTTTTTCTTTTCTCCTTTTTTTCTTCTTTTTTATTCTCTCTCTACTATCCTGGAAAAAAAGGAAAGCTCTTCGCGCGAGTGAATCCGTTCGCGAGTCGAGATGATTCTTCTCCGTGTTCCTTCCTCCCTTCGGTTTATTTACCGTTTTCCTTTCGAAACTTCTATATCTTAGGCAACATACCAAACACTTTCTTTCTTCTCTTGCTTTTTGCAATCAAATTATTTTCATTCTCTGCACAATGTGTACATGTATATTACAATGTTAAAATAATGAATATAAAGATTTGAAAAGATGCAATGAACTAGCAAACGTATGTATTTAAGTAGATATTATGTAGAAGCTTGAAAAGGTTAGCATCAAAGATGTTAAGAAGACGACGATGTTGCTCTCGATGGAGAGCTAGTATATTTTTAATTAAGAAACAAGGCCTATCATGCACACATATACACAGAATGCCAGCGGCTTGAGTAGAAAACATGAGAACGTTAGCCCGTTTTCTTCTACAATGGTACTAGATTTAATTAATGCCAGCTCGTCTCTCCTTCTCTCTCTCTCTCTCTCTCTCTCTCTCTTGCCTTCTTCCTACCCGCCTTTCCCCCTTCCCCACGCTCGTTGAAGAGGGTAAGTAGGGAAAAGTAGAGAACGGAAAGGAAAGGAAAGGTAAAGGAACGAAAAAAGAAAAAGAAAGGCGGTGAGAGAGAGGCGGTGGTAAATGTTTTTCCTCGTGGAAAAACCTACATAAAGAAGCTACGTTGCTGGTTCTTAGTCGGACGACCAGGAAAACAGAATGTCGATAGTTTTAGGATAAACGCGTTCTTCCTCATTTTCTTAGCGTACATAAGAACTCTTAATGAAAAGTTCATGAAACGTGAATTAAGCAAGTCAATGTACAAATGCTAAAACGTAACGTTAGTTCAATTAAACGAGATATTTCTCCTCTTCTTTTTCTATGTTTTTGCATTATTTTTCATTTCTTTTACCATCGTATCGTTAGCTTTTTCATGTCACAAATCCATTTATATTTTTATAATAAGAAGAAAAGGAAAAGACTTGTAAAATGTTGTCAAGAACAGCGAGAAACATTTTAGCTTTTCATAGTTGTTGCATTCATGACCTTCTTGTTTTTATCACTGATATATATTTTTGTAAAGATTAGACTTTGATTCATTAGAAGTATAAATTAATAATTGCATATTTTCCTCGAGGTCGTTACGAAGCAATAAATACTATTCTTAATAGTGACATAATAAACCAGTTTCCGACTTCTCTCTCTCTCTCTCTGTCATTTTATTCTTGTTAGCTGAACGTGAAAAGTCAATCGAGCATGACGTACTTATACTCTCACTTAACGTGTGTATTTCATTCACTTTCTAAGATGTTGCATTCTCCTATATGTATATAGATGAGTTGTATTAATTTGATCAATTAGAATGAATATTACGCATCCA